GATGGGGGGGGGGGGGGGGCTAGTCACTCTGAAATTCACTGTAGCCCCCCAAACGCTCCCCCTTAGTGCCTGCCCTGAGCACAGCCCCACCTCAACCCCACTGCCAGGAAGAGCCTGGTGCTGCCCCTAGCCCAGTGGCAGCCTGCCCTTGCCCTGCACGCAGATCGGGTAGGGGGGGGGGGAGAAGGAAGTGGCAGGAGCCACCCCTCCCTCCTGCACCCCAGACAAGTTACTCGTGGCATTGTCCCATGCCCTGCCCACTCTGGTTGTACAGCACCTGCCTGTCCCAGCCACACTCCCTCCTTCACCATGGGGGCTCAATCTGCACACACCCCCTCCCAACACATGCCTCCCCCCCTCAAACAGACATACTGGCTGAACATTGCTCTCCAAGCTGCTGGGCTTGTATATTGGCAATCGGATCAGTATTCGCCGATATGGCTCATTAATAATCAGCGCAAAAAATCTTTAATTGGTGCACCCCTAAAACTTAATACATGAATATTATTTTTAATTAAATTATTTTAGTACATTTTAAAATTTCACAAAGATAGTTCATTTAAAATGCTAATCAGACTTTTACTTTAAATTGTCTTTTATTTCAATAAAAGTAATTTAATTAAAAACAGAATTTTTACTTTAAAAAAATCTCTATCTACCCAAACATTAGTTTGCATTTTATGTTAACAATTGAACATTAAATAATCTACAATTCCTTTGTTATACGTACCAGCTTTAGAGAATTTAATCAAACATTCATGTAGCCATGGATTATTACTGTTGATGGCAAAAGCTCTTTTGACAGATTGCAACATTAGCAGAAACTTTCCTGGGGGGGGGGGAAGCAACAACAAACAAAAGACCAAGGTTATACAGTTTCAAATCTGTGCCATTTATATCATTACAAAGACGTCCAAAATCTTAAATCTCCTCATATATTACCCAATTATATCTATAACCTTCACATTTAGCCAAAGAAAAATCCATTTTTCTAATAAATTATACCAGTTCACACTCCACCTTTCAGAAACTTAAAAATGCTTGGAATTTTTTTTAACAAAACAATTGTGATAGAAATGTCCTCCAAAACGAAACAAACCCCAAAAACCAGCAGCCAAGTCAAAAGGACTGTCCATTATTTGAAAGTGTTAAAATAAAATTAAGTCCCTAAATCCCTTGCTTTTCTTTTCATTAGTAAATTTAATGCAGCTATTAAAAACATGAAGCCTTGTCCCAATTTTGCTTATACTTTTACTCTTTCAATCAAAATATAAAATACTATTGCAGCTCTTAGGTTCATTCTAGTTTCTCATTACCATTAGCAACACTGCACAGGTTGCTTCATTGTGCAGTGCAGTGCTTGAATGGGGTTTAATTTTTTTAATTGGCTAATTGCTGCATTGTTAAACTAGATGTAAATATTAGAAAGCATTACTAGTATTTAATTACAAATTCCTTCATCCTTACATCACTTTTTAGAATAAATTGTGTGTTGCTAAAGAAAGGTGATATGATATGTTAAGCTTTACAAAATATATGTCCACTAAGATTGGACACAATTCCTACATCTGTATGTTAGTAAATGCCTCCTCCATTTTAGGCTCCAGTTGGGTAAAAATGGGCTGAAATAAAAAAAGAGAAAAGAATTAAAACTGAATACACTTTACCTTTTCTAAAGTATATTTCAAATGCTAAAAGATGAGTGTCTATGTTATCTGCAACAAGATTCTTAAGTGGTATAAGGAACTTAATAGCTTCCTCTAATGGATTTTCTACCTGTTTTAAAGAGAAGAAAAAATTAAGGTTACAGCATAAAAGGAGGTCTGATATCACAAAAGTACGTCAAGATTTAACTTTATACAAAGAGCCATCATCCCATATTAGCAGACTGACCATTTTTTTCTGCTCTGAAAACAGAAACAAGAAGCACCTTTCATCTCACTTGTACCTACTGCAAACAAGTACGTCAATTCCTCAGCTACCTGTATGGTGTGTAAAATACTGGTGTCAAACAATCTCCATCATCATTTAAGAATTCATGATCAAGAACAGTGGGCAGGCATGTTTGGCAGGCATGCAACAGATTTACTGTGTACTCTCACCACGTGCCACTCTGATCCCTTTTTCTTAGCCAATATGCTACTCAAATTTCTGCACCCTGACCAAGGTTCTGCTCTGCTTTCTTCTTCCTGCCCTGTGCTTCATGCCTGACCAAATCCTTTGCTTTCTGCTCCCATCTGCCATAATGCTGCCTACCCTCTCCCTTGATCTGCTGTGTGCCACACACAGAGACTGCCCACACCTTGTATGGCAGGTTGGCTACCTATGATCTAGAACATACAAGCAATTAAAGCTAAGGAGTAAAGCATCAAGGTAATTGTATATATTAAACTGAACCATGAAATCTTTTAATGTTTTATAATGAAATTATGAAAGTTCTGCTTTATATGTTGGTCAGTGTGATCATTATATAACTGTTATGCCATATTATTCCAGTTAAGTGCTCTAATTTAGGTTTAGCTACCAAATAAAAATTATAATATAACCAACTTATAGTGGCAACAAGAATGAACTTTTCAACTCAAACTAAGAAAGAAATTAAAATATTCAGGTGCTCATTAACAGTGCACTTAAGCTCTAAAAATGTACTGGTTTTCAATCATGTATTCCATACTTTTTCTCCTATTCACTGCTTTGGTAAAAAGCACAAAGGGGGGGGGGGAAAAATTAAAGCCAGACATTTTGGGCACCTGATGGGCTAAAAAATTTAATTAAATTAAAAAAAAAAAATCACTACTTATGTTGTCTCTCATTGTCTCATGGTTTCCTTGTATGCCCTCTCTCCATCGGTAAGTAGTTCCCAACTCATCTTAAATTGGAAGCTCTTTGGGGGAAGACAATTTTTTTCATGCCTTAATAGTGACTACCACACTACAGTGATGGTTAATGACCAGATTCCTAGGTTCTACAGCAATATATATAATCAATAGATTATTTACAAACTTGCCAAATATAAAAATTAAACATAAAAGGTGGTGTTAAAATAGTGGGCGATGTCTTTTTTGACACTTTTTTAAAATTTAATTTGCACCCAAGGCCAAATAAGCCAAAACAAATTCCAAATCCAAATGTCCAGAACCATAAGTGGTTCACTACTGGCAAACCTTCTCTACCCGCACCTGGGGCTTCAGATGTTTCCAAAACCTTTGGCAGGCATCCTATTTGCAGGCCGAAGCCCAGAGGCTTGGCGTTTGGATGCCCCCGTTTTGCTTGACCTTAGCCATAAGACCCTTGGAGCAAGAAAGGGTCTTATGGCTCCCATTTCTATAACCTGGGTTTAATGCTGCTGCACCTCAGCAGGTACTGAACCATGCCAGAAGAGCAGTTCTCCTGCAATGCAGTTCAGGAAAACGGCTTTCTTGGACACAGATACATGGTATTTCCCCTGCCAGGTTAAGAAGCCACTATGCTTTGTCCTGAGCCTTCAAGAGGCTGAAATGCACTTTTTAAAAGTATGTCCTTTTAATGAAAGCTTGTGGATTACATGATTCTAGAAGAAGGTATTTATATCTGGTCAGGCTGGAAAGATTATCTATAAAATTCATCCTAGCTTAACTGTTTTTAAACAGACAATACTACACTTACCCTTTCCAGTTTTTCAGGAACTAGCTCTTCCTTGGGGCCACTAGTTTCCTCCTCTTCCTCATCCCTTTTTTTCTTTTGATTCTTTTGCTGCCGCTCTCTTTCTGCATGTTTTCTCTCTTCTTCAAGTTTGGCTTTCTTCTGTGCTCTTCTTTGTTTACTAAGCATCTTCTTTAGTTCTTTGGCTGAGAGGTTTTCTACAGATAAATAAAGACAGAGTATCATCTGCTTTACCTACAGAATGTGTCATTCAAGACAAATATTGGATTTGCTCACACAATGCATGGACATCACTAGACTTTTCATACAGGAAAGTGTGCTTTTGCCAAGGTTTCCAAAAGCATCCTTTTCACTCACCAGTACAATGCACATATTAATATATGGTTTAATATATTTCCAGCACAAAACCTCATGTAATCTTAATAAATACACGTCAAAGTTTGTATAAACCAAATAAAAATGAGACTCCTGAAACTTAAAACTTGTTATTTAAACCAATAATCAGCTGAAATGTGGAGTTCCAACATTTATATTATGGAATGTTATGGAATAGTTTATTCTTACAGAATGCATTTCACCCAACGATCTCAGATGGCTTTATTATAAAAGGTGGATAATACAGGGGTTTGGTTTTTTGTTTTTTTTTGAGGTTAGGCTTACTTCACCCATCAATCTTACTCAATTTCTTCCTAGTATTCTTAGTAATAACAATTACACTCCTGATAAGACCTCACCTGGAGTATTGTGCCCAGTTTTGGGCCCTACACTTCAAGAACGATGTTGATAGATTAGAGAGAGTCCAGCAGAAGGCAACTAAAATTATTAGAGGCCTGGGAAGCATAACTTTATAAGGAAAGACTGAAAAAACTAGGGTTACTTAGTCTGGAAAAGAGAAAGCCAAGAGGGGATTTGATAACAGTCTTCAAATACCTGAAGAGCCATTAAAGAAAGGACGGAGACAGATGTTTCTCTGTGGCCACAGGGGACAGGACTAGGAACAATGGCCTCAAACTACAGCAGAGGAAATTTAGGTTGGAGATTAGGAAGAGCTTCCTGACTATGAGAATGGTCAAGCATTGGAGTAGACTCATTAGAGAAGTTGTGGACTCTCCGCCCCCAGAAATTGTCAAAGACAGGCTAGACATACACTTGGCTGTAGTGTTCCTTCTAAGCTGTGTGGTGTTCGCATCCGTGCTCATGCCGCGCTGCCAGAAACACCTGCATAGCCGCGCATGCCGTGCAGCTTACAGGGAACGATACTTGGCTGGGATGGTTAGTCAGAGATGATCCCATCCTGGGTAGGGGGATAGCTAGATCAGGGATTGGCAACATTTTTGGGCAGAGTGCCAAAACCACCCGCAACCTCAACTTGTAAGATGTTGATGTGCCAAAGGCATATGGTAGGAGAGTTGCAAGGAGCCTCATCCTTGTTGTGGCAGCGCAGCCCCAGCTCCTTCCCCAGGGCAAAAGTGCCAAGCAAAATGCATGTGTATGCCATGCTCTGGCACGTGTGCTGGGAGTTGCCTACCCCTGGACTAGATGATCTACTGAGATTTCTTCCAGCCTTACTTTTCTGTGCTCCTGATTAGAAAAATCCTATATCACCATGTCCATCTTAGTGTTTGTAGCCTGTAGGTAGGTAGACATTTCTAACATTTTAGTTAAGGGCACAAACACACAAAACAAGTTACTGCAAAGTAAAATGAAGGTGGGGGTTTACAGCAGGGATGTTCACAATCTTTGCCATGCAGGCCAGATGTGGTCCTTGGGGCTCCCCACAAGTCGGGAAATTTGGCAGTGGTGGAGCAGTGACAATACCTTCCTACTGAATTCCCAAACCCAAAGTGGCTCGTTTGAGCTAGGCCACGCTCCCTTTCCCTCCTGTATTTGGGCCAGGGCTGGGCCAGCCCCTCACACTTTGGGACCAAACTGGGGTTGGGACATGCCCCCCCTTTCCCCGCCCCCCACCCCCAAGGCTGGACTGAGGCTGGGCCATGCCCCCTTACTGCTTCCCTCCTACAAGGCTGGATTGGGGCCAGGCTCCCACCTCTTCATGGCAGGATGGTGCCTGCCCCAGGTGCCAGAATCACCAGCTGGATCCAGCCTGTGATGGACCAATCACTACCCATCTGGCCTATCAAGGAACACAGTTGGGCACTGCTGGTTTAGAGCATGTAGCTTCTTCACAGTAAGTGAGTGCATACTCAAACTGCATTAAGTGTAAGCTAGCCTTTTGTGGTTTAGCATTCAATGAAAATGGAATCTCCCCTCTCTCCTTTCTAGTGCCTTCTCCATCTCTTCACCCAGCCAGCCCTAATTCTTGCCTCTGTCCTCCAGCTCCTTGTCAGTTTAGTGTCTCATTTTTTCTGAGCCCGTCTCTCCCTCCTCCAGTTCCTTCACCCTATTCCTCCACAATTCAATTGGAGAGGGATAGACTGCTGCAGGTATGCATGCTTGGGCCTAAGTTTAACCACCTTATACAGAATAAATCACCTACCTGCAGAGAAGGACCTAGAGGTTCAGTAGACCACAAACTAAACAGAAGGCAACAACGCTATTGAAACTGTCAATCACCATCCTTGATATATGCAAGACTTGGGAAGCGATTATGCCTCTACTTCCCACAGGTGGGGCCTTAGCTGGACTATTATGCCCAGTTTTGAGACCACAGTTTAAGATCTAGAGAAATTGGGGAGACTCCAAAACAACAAAAATAAGAAATTTAGAAACATGACCTAGTATATGATGGAAAGGATTCAGTCTGAGAGAGAAGCAAGTGTGCAAGAGCACTGAGAGCAGACATGATAATTTCTGAATAAGTAAAAGACGGCTGGTATATACAAGGCAAAAAGACTGGGCAAATTAAGCTGATCTTTGACCCTGAGTTGACACAGAGAACAACTGATCACCACACATACACACACAGTGATCATTTGTTCTCTGTGTCAACTCAGGGTCAAAGATCAGCTTAATTTGTTGCAAAAGTGATGAAGGCTAGGTATCTGGGGAGGAAAATACTTAACTATAAGAGTAATTGAGCGCTGGAACAGGCTATCAAGGAAGTCACTGAACCTCCATTTTTTTAATTTTCTTTTTAAAAATAAATTTGATATACTACACCAATTATTTTGGTACAGGCCTCTATTTTGCTTATCTAACAATTTAATACTATAAAAAGCTTTTGTAATAAAATGAATGCAGGACATCTTTTCAGTCATTAATCAATGTTTTAGGACAGAAAAGTCTTCTATAAATACCAACAGATAATGATTTCATATAATTTAATATTATTTAGCATTCTAAACGCTAATTGAGTAACAGACACGTTAATGTTCATTACTCTCTAGGTACCTGAATTCACTTCTTGTTCTTTGCTTTCGTTGGTTAGAGGATTATCATGTAGCTTCAAGTAGATTTCAATTGCTGACCGAGCAGCCTTAAAATAGAAGGCATGTTTCCTGAGCACATCTTCTAATCTCAAGAGGTCTACATAGGCACGAAGAGTCATCTTTCTCATGCAATATGTATGGAAGTCAAATTGATCATCTGTTATCTCAAAAAAATGCTTTAAAAAAAGAAAGAAAAATCTTCTTAAAACTTGCTTTATATTTTCTTATTATTACCATCTGTTAAAAAATAAAGTGAAGTATAGTTTACAGACAATACTGATCAAGAGCAAGATTAACAATACCTAGTACTTAGAAGAATCTAGTGCTTCAGCACATCTGTCTCTCAGGATAAACTGAAGACAAAGGCTACTTGCAGATGTTAAAAAAAAACAACACACCCAAAAACCGTGCTTTACTGGAAGAAGAAGCATGTTGCTTCAACCCAGCTCTTCAGCGTCTGTATAGATCAGGCACTTCAGTGGGGCTTTTTGGTGCTTTTATCTAAAGCTGATTCAATCAGCTATTAGATACAAGTGCCAAAAACCCCACTGAAGTGCTCGACCTATACAGACGTTGGGTGAGCCGGGTCCAACTAATGTGCTGGCTCAGTGCAGGAGTGCGAGAAGTTTAAAGTTAAAGAACTTTAATTTTTGTTTGTTTTATTTAAACATCTGCAAGCAGCCAAAGAGGAAAAAAACCAAACAAAAAAAGGAACAGTAACATTTACTGATCTTTTTTCATCATTAAAAATACTATCACATTAACTGTCATTTTTTTTAAATAAGGAAACTGCTACAATCAATCTGTGTTAATAGTTTTAGATAAAAGCACATCAGAAGTTTTGACACTGTTGGATCTTTTTCTTTTAAAAAGGGAACAAAGACTTACGGAAGCAGATAAAAATACATTACCCTAAAATTAAAAATATACTATATCCCAGTGTTTTAAAAGTGCATTAAGCCAACATCATGATTTTTACATTTGAAGATCATTTTCCTGCCAAACTGACTGAGGCAGTGGTTCTCAACTTTTTAAAGACTCAAGACATTCCACAATTACTTTTCAGAATTTAGTGGCACTGCATTTAAAAACCAATTTATTTCTTACAGTGCTTACCTTATTGCACTCCATGGCACCCTTAAAAGGATCTCACAGGGTGGGCAGCAGCAGGCAAGGGATTAGGGAGCTTACGGTTGAGTCTTTAGACCCCCAAAGGAGGCAGGTGTCCCTGCAGGGGATGGAAGGGGGTGACAGTGGCCACTGGGTGCAGAGGCTGGTGCCAGATGAGGGCAGCAGGAGCAGGACCTTCCCCATGTCCTGCTTTTTCCACAATCTGCCCCCAGTCTGTAGCTGAAGAGGTGAGAGAAAGGCCCCTTGCTGGCTACAGCTCCAGGGGCTTGAATGCTGGATCATTCCCTGCAGCGCCTTCCACCAGCTCTAAGAATGTGGGATGAGGACAAGAAGGAGCAAAGCTGAAAGAAAGCAGCCCCACACATGCCAGCCTATGGCAGACTATGCTGCATGGAGCATGGGAGCAGTCAGCACAAGGGTTGCCGGATGGGGGTGGGGGCAGCAGAAGATTGCACTTTTCAGTATAGTTTATTCCCTTACTCCTAGAGGTGGTGAGGGGCTGCATGACATGCTGCTGTGGTGCGGGGAGGCAGGTGCCGAGTCCCACACTAATGGAGGAGCCGGCCAGCACTTGCAACCTCTCACAAGCATCAGGCACTACAGCACCCCTCAAACAATCTTGCAGAACCCTGGCAGAGAACCACTGGATTAAAGCAATGAATATTTGCATGAAGACTTTTATGCAGGGGAAAAAACCAAACCAAACAAAAAAAGACAACTCAAATCTTTTTAGCAACTTACCCTTTCCACTTCGTGACATTTTTTCAAGGCATCCCCATATTTCCCTAATCTCTGATAAGCGGTTGCACATTCAGTCTGGAACCACATACATTGCATCTCATTGAGATTTTCCATAGCAGATGTTCCTTCCTGAAATGAGTAAGTTTAGACTGTAGATACCAGCAGCTCCTGCTTGCCCCTAACTAACACAGGGCAACTATGAGCATAGGACTTTTGGTAAGAATAACCAGTCATCCATGAACACAAGATGAAACAGTCAATATCTGCTAATGGTCACTGATTTAATAGTTACACGAGTTCTCAAAAGAAAAAAATCATTCTTATTACAACACAATACAGTACAGTACAATAACTACTCTTTTCTGTAGCTTCTAGCTGTTACTCTATATTCCCCAAGCCAAACTGGTACAGAATCAAATGCTTGAAAAACCTGCTTAACCTTTAAGCAAAGTTACGTCTCAGCTTTCTTGAATTCACAGATAGCAGACACTGGTGCTACAAAGAACAGTCCTGGGTTAAAGTCCACTTCCTGGCTGCAGATGGAAACTATGGGGCAGTTTTTTGAACTGGGGTAACAGACTTGCATGGACTCTTGTGGTGAGTTTGTGTTTCTGTGGATGTGCCTCAATTGGAACTTCAAAGAAGTTCTTTAGTTTGTGCAAGGAATTCTAAGGCCAGGTAGTTGGAATAGGACATGCTGAATCAAGTTTCCTTCCCTTGTCCTCCTTCAAGTTTCAGTATGGTTAGAAAACTTGTAATGCATCACCTAAGGTTCTAGGACACTTGCTGATTGTTTGCATATGCCAGGAAGAAATGTTTTGTCCTTTCGATGCATTACTGACTTCCACTCTTTTTCCCTTTCTCCTAAAGCATCAGTTAGTGGCCACAGGTGGCTCCAATGGAAACATCGATGACTGGGAACATGTCCCCATTGGGACTGAGAAACCACTCAGGTAGGTGCCTGGACAGCATCATATTTAGAACCAGAAAAGAATTTCTCCCAGACCAGACTGGCAAGAACGACTTGAGGGTTTCTGCCTTCCTCTAATGTGAGGCATGACCCATTTCTTAGGATTAGTTAGGCCAGTGGTTTTCAACCTTTTTAGACTTGAGGCACCTCCCTGCCCCACCCAACAGACCCAAGACACCTTCCTGAAAATGCCAGCTCAGTTCTCTCTCAATTTTTGACAATACAAACAGAATAAATCAATTCTTCTGTTGCAAAAGACTACAGCAAGTTAGTAGATTATTAACACTATGAATTCTTATTTGAAATCTCTGGGTTTATCATCTTGTGAATCATCTGTGCACACCTAACAGTTCTAACACTGTGTGTGTGTTTCATTCACCAGAGTGAATGAAAACATCAGTACAGATCTAACTATATATTATCTGCTTCTCATAAATAAGATTATATACCAGAAAAAAAATTGAGTTCAATGTCTTCTGATATTCCTGATAAAACATCTTGGTTTTCACATTATACAAATCTATTGTAATCAGATCAATTTATACAAAATCTAAGTAGGCCATTAAATCAAATTAAATTAAGATTAGCTCCCTCATACCCCATATAGGAAAATTCTCTCTGTGTGTGAATTAGCAAGATACACTGTTAGTATCAACAAATTCTAGAGCTCAACTTCAAGGAAAGAACTAGACAAAAATGTTTTTTTCACATTTAATAAATCAATTTTCTTATAAAATGCTACCCATCTCCTCTTTAATGCAATAATTCCTACCCTTGTGAACTTGGAACACATCTCCTCAGCATCTTTCACCATATTAGCTCGTAGCATGTACTTTGCACATTTGGAGTTGATAAATCTGTCTGCTGTATCCAGAGACTGTGCCTCATCCATCCATTTGGCAGCTTCTTTGAGATTTCCTACATGCTATTATGGAAAAAGAAGAAACATTTAAGCTTCAGTACTAAACAAACATTTGATTAACTAAAGAACTTTATAAATGTTTGTGCCAGTAACTATAAGTACCTTGGAAATCCTAAGCTAGTTTTTAACTTAACATTCTCTGGACTTTCCCAAACAGTGATGTGTCATCTTAAATTATAAGAATTTACTCCAGAGTCAAAAAAACTTGGAAAAAGAATGAGTTTAGATTTTCTTTATGCTGACAAGAGAGTGCCCCAAAAACATAATAAACAAATCACAACCCAGACCACCACATTATACAATTCTATGAAACAGTTTCAATTGATTAGGGCACTTTCACAGCCTATAATTTAACATACTTAAGTCAACTTTTTACCTTGTAAATTTTTGCTTTTAAATAGAACAGTTCTATTAATGTTGGAGTGCTTGCAATTGCAGCATTAATGTAATCCAAGGCCAATGAACACTGGCCAAGTTTGTCAAAGTGCTGTGCCAGGAAATACCGAACCCAAAGCAGTGTCGTTGGGGGCTCTCTCTCTCCATTTTCTGTAACAAAACAGATATAGAATTACAGTAACCAATAGGGTTGAAAACTTCATTTGAAAAAAAATACACAAACGAAACTTAGCAAAAATTGGCTAAATTTGTCAAGTTGTTGTTTTTGTTTACAAAAACAAGACCTGTAATTATTTTCTGGTAAAAAGCAGCAGCACTCCAACAATTATCGATAACTGTTATCACACAGATTAGTAAGTGAAAGACAATTTTAAGACGCGTACTGAAACTTACCATAAGGACTAAAAAGGTCACAGGTTTTCAGAGAGGCTTCATATCCAGTAACAAGTTCTTGGACTGTAGAAACCTAAATATGAAAAATAAAAATTAAGAGATTGGCTTTGAAGCATCATAAATGTTGGAAATGGGATGACAAAGCACATATTTTCAGTTAGAGTACATCACCTAAAATAAACTGAAGGAGGAAGCTAAAAGCCTTAATAGAAACAAGATACTGGTTGTGTCACTTTTAGGTTTAAAAAAAAAAAAAAAATCTAAAAAAAAAAGAACTTCAGAAAATTTTCCTTTTCACTTTAAACAAGATCTCTCCTGCTCATCCATTTAGATCAGAGGTCGGTAACCTTATACCACTGCAGGCTTCTGCTTGTGACCTAGCCCCCACCACAGGTTGTACCCCCCCCAGTAGTCAACAGATACTGTGAAGGGAATAGATAGAAATGGGCAGGAGCTAGGATCTCAGGCAGGGGTGGGCAAAATATGGCCCATAGGCTGGATCCGGCCTGCCAAGGTTGGGCAAAATAGGGCCCAGGGTGCGTCCCTCAGCCCTGCCTGGTGCAAGCATGGGGGGCAGCACAGGCTGTGGTGTGCACAGCCAGTCCCACTGTCTCCCGGCACACAGTGGGGCTGGGGTGGCATGGCAGCCAGACTTCACTTCCGAGCAGAGGTGGCTCCTTCCAGCTGCTGCTGCGTCACCGCCCTCGCTGGACCCAGCCCTGCTGCCCCGCCACTCCAGCCCATCTACCCCACACCATGTGGGAGGACAGGGTCTCCAGGGAGACCAGCCCAGGACCTTCATGGGTAGGGTATACTCAGCTTGGTGGATGAGATGGGGCCACAAGCGGGTGGGGAGCAGCATCCAGAAGCAGGATGATCAGGCGTGGCCGGGACTGGGATCACAGGGTGGTGACATTGTGGGGCCAAGGGCTTGCAGCAGAGCCGCAATCTGTTCCCTGTGTCCCTGCCTATGGAAACAGCACCCATTGCAGGGATGTGTGGTCAGCAGATCATGGCTCTGCCCTGGGCTCCAGCCCCATACTATCACCACCCTGTGATCCTGGCCCTCTCCCACTCTGTTCCCTGTCCACCTACAGCCCCAACCCATCCACCTGGCCAAGCATGCTCTTCCTGTGGGGGTCCCAGGCCAGTCTCCACAGAGACCCTGGGGCCAGGGCCCAAGGCAGAGCCACTTAGGGAGTTTTGGTGAGCTGCTGTGGGCTGGAGGAACAGGAGGTAGCTGACGCAGCACGGTACACCAGGGGTACTTTCTTCACCAAAACTCTGAGCAGCCCTCCAGCCCAAGTAAGTGCCTACCCCTGATCTTGGGGATGCCTCCTGTGATGCAGCAGAGAGAATAAACTGAGCACAAAAAGCAACAGGACCCTAGAGATCCCCTCTTTTGCTATGGCTGAAGTGTGCTGCTGATTTCCTGAGCTGCAGCAAGCTGGTTTCAGTCTCTTCAAGGGCTGGATCCAGCCCAGGGGCCATAGGTTGCTGACCTCGCAATTTAGATATTTTTTCCTAGGTACTTATTCTTGCAAACGCCAAGGGAAAAAATAAATGTATTTGATCGGTAAGCCTCCCATGACCTGATTAAATATTATTTTGAGGTAGCTCAATTTTTTAATAGTAACCTTAAGACAACTCAGAGATTTAGAGAGGGTTAAGCATGTGCATCCCATAACTAAGTAAAAAGGAGTCATATCTGGCTGACTGAGTTCCTGTGAAATTAATATTTTAACGCTACTACAACTATGATATTATTAAAGAAGTCAGGATTCCTAGAACCTCAGATATATACCCTTTCATGTTTTCAATTAAAGAAAAGTTAACTGTAGCGTCAGCAAGTACCTATGCGTGACAGAAGCATATGCTGATTCTGCTCTGCACCAGACAGCACTAATCAAATGGTGCAACATACCTTCTGAACGTTCTAAAATACAAAAGATAATCCAATTGGGCTAAAAGTACCTATCATAACTAAGATTTAAAGCGTGTCTTTTCAAAGGCAAGTAGCCAACTTCTCAAAAAATCCAAAGAAAGAAAGAAGAAAAATGAAAACTGCATCTAAAAATACACTGCATGCTCAAACCACTTAAAAATGATTGCTGAATATAGCAATTATGAAAGGTCAGACTTAGAGATGTTACATTATTGCATTAGCTGTTCATTGCTAAATTGGTGCAAGTAAAAAGGGTTTCCTATCTATGATCCAGGTCCTATATAAAACAACATTAATCCAAAGGTAAAAAAAGAATTAACTAATGTGAATACTCTGCAAAGTTAGCCAGTGTATCAATTTGAAAGATTTAACTTTAAAAGCAGAACAGGAAAAACTGAAGGTTTACCTAGAACAGGGGTTGGCAAAAAATTGAGCTGCAGGCCAAGTCCAGCCTGTGAAGAGGTTTTTATTCAGCTTGCTGTTAATCAGTGGGTGATAAGGTCAAGGCCCACAGCACCTAGGCCCAGCACCATGTGGCAGAGGCTACTGGCAGCTCAGCAGAAGCAGAGGGGAGGGGAGGGTACAGACAGCTGGATCAGCACCACCAGAAGGACTGGGAAGAGGCAGGCTGTGGATGGAGCAATGAGAAAGGGCGGCTGGCAGGTGCTGCGCCCATTAAGAATGGCACCTGGGCATCAGGTCAACCCAACACATGGCTTTACTTTTAAAAAAAATGGACATGTCAAATCTCATTCATTTTAGCAGGGGAATGCCAGCCCAACATAGAACTGTGCTCTGTTAATATGACCTCCTGTTAGTGAAAAGTTGTCAACCCCTGCTGTAGAAGAGCAAACAGGAATGAATTCCGAAGGATACATCTTGGCTTCAAGGGAAAGTGAATGTCCTGGAAATCTGAACCGGCTTTAAGTTTATGTCCTTAAATATATTTTGTTAACTACAATTTAGATAGAAAAATCTGAGTCTCTTTGACTTCATATATAGGTGTTTTCAAAATTGAGTTACTATTACCATTGTAATGATGTTTAAGACTACAATATTTCTGAGGAATACCAAAGAGTGAGCGATTCACTCTGTGATCCAATTCACTGCAGTTAGTGCCATGCTATTAATATGCCCAGATGGCTTTTGAATGCATTTTTATAAATTTAAAAAACACACTTCCCAAAATCACAGATTCCCACTGCCATACTCCTGGAAGAGCTTAAAAAGGAAGCAGAAGAGCATAATTTCCTGTGTCAACAGTACTCAGTTTTATTGGTCAAAAAGGAGGGCTAAATCCAGAATGGAAGGTCTTCCAATGATAATGTTCTGCCATCAGTCCCTACAGAGCTTAAATTCTATACACTATAACCAGTGATTCTCAACCAAGGTGCCAGGACACCCTGGGGGGCCACCAGATCTTTTGAAGGGTGCCATGAGGTGTTAGAAGATAAGCAGATAAACTAAGCAGAGAAGCACAGGCTCAGGCTTGTCCCTGACTGGATGATCCTCCATTCCTGCTGCCAGGCCCCTCTGCAAGGAAACAAGCACAGTAATCTATAATTTAGTTTTTGATTTTGGATGCCACTCAATTCAAAAGTGTTAGGGAAGGGTGCCTTAAGTCCAGAAAGGCTGAGAGCCACTACTCTAGGCAGAATTTATCTTGTTTCCTGCAACAAGTAGCTTTTAAAGTAAATAATACTTAAACCAACCCACACTTCTTAAGTCAGTACCTATACCTTGGATTGCAGGTGGAGGCAATTAAGACTTCTGACAGGCATAAAACGTTCTACATAGCTACCAGTTAAGAAGGCTATCATATTTTATACTAATAGAAGCTTTGAATCCACAAAAGACTGGGCCAACCACCTCCCTACTTTCTAATGCATCTGCTTCTCTGCAATTTGTGTTTTGTTTTCTTATTTACCCTAATCAAGGATCAAAATACATGTGGTTCAATTTTTATCCCCAAACCATTCCAATTATATGACAGTAAACCTTCTACCAGACTTTCACTGTATATTTGAGAAACACAAGCTGAAGCTGGAATGCATATATCTTTTAAAGTTATTTACTGAAAATTAATGTCTTAAAAGACACTCAAACTGAGGCTTTTGATTACTTCCTTCTTGCACGTATACAACTCTTCCTTGGTAGAAAGAGGTTACTAAAACTATTTTTCCACCTGTAGTAAGAAGTACTATAGGGCAATTACACACTTCTCTTGATATAGCTAAACTGACTGGATCACTAGGGATATTTTAAGTGCCAAGCAAGAATGGGGTCTGCCTGTGCTAGTCACTGAACAGAGAAGCAGACAAATAATCTCTGCTCACAAAATGGAACAACATGGATAAAAGCCATGGAGTGGGGTGGAGATTGCAAACAGAGTAAACAATGGGCATACTGTAAACGATGTGATAGTTCCACAACACTGAAAAGTCAATACAATTTCTTTTCCTTGGGCAACTTTACCTAAGAAATGATGAGCTAAATGTGACGGAGGAGAAAAGGTGGTGAGGACAAAAAAGGGAAGGGAAGGCAGGTTTGAAATAAAGAGTCTCAGGGTGAGAGAGAAGAGGAACACGAAAGGTTTATCGCAAACAGCCAATCAAGAAAAGGGAGAGAGAACGAAATGCATCTTTTAGGGTGAAGCTATCCAATTTTATAGCAAGTTAAACCACTGAGTAGTTATTACTGATGAATTATAAGTTACTATTATGCCTGGCATTACAATGGTTGGTCAAAATATGTTATGCTAAACCTGTTTCAGCAGCCTAATCCCAAGCTGACTAATATCATAAAGGGAAACAAATTCTAAAATACTTTCACAGTATAAAAATACCTTGTGAATTTTTCTGCTGGTCAGCCATAATAAGCTACGTATGGTACTGGGGGTGCTCTTTCTGCACCATGCCACAGTTGGCATCTGGGACTGTGGTGGAGGGAGAGTTCTCCATGCACCGCAGTCACAGTCAGGTAGTGGGAGAAGCAGAGGTGGTGGCCAGAGCTCAGTGCTTGACCACCCCATAACCTGAGTTGGGCCATACTGGCAGAATGCCAGAAAACATTTTTGACTCCTGCCCTACCCCATTCTGGATCAACAGATCTGAAAGTCAAGCTGAGGC